AAAACACCTTGTTGCTTAAAATAAGCCATTTTTTTATTGGTCAATAATGAAATTCTTTCTTCCGATTGATCAATCAATCGAAGAGTTTGTAGCGTCTATTGAATCGCAACTTTAAGCTTGCAACGCATGATGCGATTTTTGCATGCAGGATTGATGCGAGGCATTGGACTAGCAGCCGTGTTGAAAGCATGTGTACGCTGCTAAAAGTATAGCGTACTGCGTGCTGCCGTGTGTGCTAACGTGTTGGTTTTCAATAATAGATTCAGTGCTATGAAGACAGTAGTGTCTCAATGTTAAGAGCATTTTTCTTACGAGATTTACTGCTAGATAGATAAAGAATTAGATTAGAACATACAAAGAAGATAGAGTATTTATAATCAAGCCAAGACATATCAAGTCAACTATACGACGTAACAAGACAAGCTATACGTTGTAAAACTATGACTAGCAGCATTTCCATCACAGCAGTATGTAATACTGCAGTCTAGAAAACGATGCATAACGGATCTATCAGAAAAATTAGTATAAAAAAAGTATCATGTGCGGAACGCTTTAGTCTAAGCATACTACATTATAGTCCTAAAATCCTAGAACCTTCTAGCAAGCAGCAAAATGTATTTAAGGCTTGGTTTTGCATTTACTGGTTGACTTATGGTTATAGGCTTAACTAGAATAACTTTAAAGTTATCACTACAAAACCATTAGTTTAGTGATTAACTGTAGCTAGAAAAACATAATTTTTACATTATCATCAAGTTAAATGAGGTTAAGTCTAAACCATAAGTTAACCAGACAATGAAAAACCGGGCCTAATACGAATATAGGTTCGATCGTTATATTGCCAGTGAATCAAGGGCTTAGCCTTAGCAGCCGTTATGCAACTGCTGCTTCGTTTAGCCAATAAATGAACGCGAGAGCACGGTTTAACAAAGGGAGCCTGAGACCTGTAATTATCGGTGTATATCGTTAGCAAATTAATCGTATCGGTTTAGAAAGAAATACACCCGTAATTGCGTCTTCGACCTTTCGAGCGGAATAAACGGCGCGATTATTAGAGATAATAACAGGTTGGAAATCAAACCAAATTTCCGCCAAGATAAAATGGATCCCGAAAAATGGTCCAATGTTATGCAAACGAGAGTTTAACTCAAGAAGAGCGCTCGACTCGAGTGAATTAGATTTGAAATGCACAAAAATCCATCTCGATGATAATGCTATACGTATGATTTCTTCTTTTTTTTTTTTTTTAATTTCATTTACTTTAACGTACGATTAACTCGCTCAATCAGACTAACAATCTTGGGCGGAAAAAGCACAATGCATTATATACAGATATATTATGAAGCATGCATCTAATTTTGTGTGTGCGCGCGCTCGCACTCGTACTTATCTAAGGCTTTACTTTGATAATGAAAATTTGACACAGTTAACTATACAAGATTAAATTTAATTCCTTAAGTTAAAACATCTAAAAATGTTAAGCCATACAAAACTAACCATCTAACTAATCATAGTCAAATGTGAGGAGAATAATCGACTATGCACTGTAAAAAGTAGTGTTTAAAATATTTCCGTTTAAAACATCTTTGCAAAACAAAAGTTTAATAATAAAAGATACTTCAATTTTAAATGTTTTAATGTTTTAAATCTAAACACATAGTGTTTTATTTATTGTGAAAAGTTTAAAACTAAAACATCTTTAAGCGTTTAAAAAACGGAGACAAGAATATAAAACATTTTTATATCTTAAAATTAAACACTTCTTTTATGAATGTGATTGGTCAACTTCTTACGGTTTAAGACTTAAGCCTGATCTATCCACGATCTATACCTATAGGTTAAACAAGGACGCCCATTGTTTAGGTCGCGGACTAAGCGCACGGTGTAATCGTAGCCTTAGGCTGGTATTCATAGTCGGATCTTATATTCAAGATCGTCTTAAGTCTTGAGATGTCATGAATCAATCAGAGAACCCTATTATAGCATCTCAAGATATTATTTAAGACTGTCTTAAAATAAGAACGAACTGTGAATATCTAAAGCTTAAATTTTACGCCTTAAAATTTCATTGTGAACACCGCTTTAGGTTTCAGGACAAGTATCAAGACAGTAACGAACAGCCAATAGGCGCGTTGGATCAAAGTCTTGTAAATAAAAAAGGCTCATGGCAAGAATATATCGAATACTGCCATTCGAAAAAAATATTACTCATTGCCTTGCGAAAGACATATTCGAGTTTCCGATCTGGATCCAACCTTCGCATGTCTCTCTGTGCCACGATTTCGTATCTAATCAGATAAATAAAATATATCTCAGCTAAGGTAATATTTTTCGCAACGAGAGTTCTTCAAATCGACGATTTAATTTATGAGATCATTATTATTTTAGTTTGACTGTGTTGCAAGTTATATATACACACACGAGTTTAATCATTATAAATCCAATTGCGTACGAAATGCGAGCGGAATCCATTATGCAAAAGGGGCTCAAAGAAAATATTAATATATGTATGCACGTATATCTTCTTAATAACGCAAAGCATGAATTTCCGTATTAGACTCGTAATATTATGCGCAAACTTCAATCTAAAATCGGAAAACGATCAGACGGTTGAAAGACAGATCGAGTTATATTTAAAAAAATGAAAGCAACGTACGGTCTTTCTCCATCAGGAAATTCACGGGGTTAACCGAATTTACTGAGTTATTCTGAGATTTTCTCGTACTATTCAAACACCTCGGCCAAGAGAACCTATCCCAAGAGAACTTAAGAATGAGATACGGAATTATCTACGAGCAATGTCAACAGAACTATGGCCGATATGTAGTGCATGATATGATGTAACTGCAAATACAACGGTATTATTGATGGAATGTTTTTCTTCCGAGCCTTCGCCGTGAACTTATTTGAGGATCAATTCAAAGTTAATTTTTCCTTTAAGAAAACTGTCGAAGTAGAAATAGCTTCTGAATTAGCGATTAAAAATAAGCAATTCCGCAGAAATTAACCTTCAGAAAATGAAAATGCAGCTAAAGCTGTTAGCTCTTTATTTGACTTCAATGAGACTTCAATGAGACTTTATTTTAACAAAGGTTTTAATTCAAAGTTTGATTAATAAGATACTAAATGGAATAAATTAAAACAGTGAAAAGAACATCTCATTAATTTGTTGTGTACAGATGTAGATAAATTAGTTCAATTTAAATCTCATATTATTTAGACAAAAATAACAAAATAAGAAAATTTTGTATAATAAACGCGTAATATTTAATTTCGCAATATAGGAAAACTTTTGACAATTTAAAAAAAGAAATTCATCCTTGCATTGATTTTGATCGATCTTCAGAAGAAATTTTATTCAAACGTAATTATGGGATTATATACGTCGAAAATTAAGCACACATGAAATTACAAAAATATCCATACTAAAATTTTATCCTTAATTGCCAAGTTATATAATCGAGAATAAAAGCCTGCAACAGACTTAAAATAAATATTCGTCAAAAATATATGAATTAACGGACAATGTCTTCAAGATTACTGTCATAATTTTTATGAAATACATAAAACTTTAAATTCAATATTAAAAATTTTGCGCGCGCGAGTATGTACAGGGTGATCCCAAACGTTTCAATCAGATTTATACCAGGATGCCATAATTATGTAGGACACATAAGCGTTAATGACAACACTGCAAAAATGTTAATATTCAAAAATGTTAATATTCAAGCATCCTACATAATTATTTTAATGATTCAAACAAAATTATTTTCGGATCTGTATCTAGCTAAATTTTTAGATATTTTAGCAAAATCGTGTTTTCCGTATGGATTTGGTTGTAAACGAAGATTCACTATATAAGAGATATTTCGTAACGTAAAGAAAGAATTGGCTAGCAGAGACTGTCGAAGTAGTGAAGCTCATTAAAAACGAGTTTTTTAATGTTATACGAAATTCTCATTAAGCTAATGACGATGTAATATCACTTTGAAAAATACCACCGTTCTTTCTTTCATTTAGATCGATATATGTCATCTATAAAACAGGGCGACTTTTATAAAAGAGATTTCGCTCGCTCCACAAATCTCTCAATAATCTTAAGTGCTTTCCCAAATATTTTATCGTGCTTGCATTGATACGTCCTCACGATCCGAAAACAACACCGATCAACATTTAATATCTGCCGATCGATTTTCCGGGGAAAAATGATGACAGAAGAGGAGACTCTCTCCGATCGTCTTCTATGAGTTACGTAATATCATTTATCTATCTGAATTACATAAAATGACCTCATGTCTTTCCGACGCGTGCAAGGAGATAAAATTCGTACGCGTGGGACACATTACAAAGAACTATGAAAATAATACCGTTAATCTAAAAAATTTTATTACGCATCTCCAAGTAAAAGAGACTTAACAAGTGTCCTTTGACGATCATAAAAATGGCCATTTTGTTTTAACATCGAGCAGTTAACTTTAATTTTATGAACCGAGGGAACGATAAAAGTATATATAATTTCGCGAATGAAACGTGAATGTTTTTAAATAGCCTTTTGTACCAGCGATTTAATTTCAGAATTTAAATCTCTTTCGACGTATTATTATGGTAAAACAAAATTTTTATCATTATAATTTTTTTACATTTGCAATAGCTTTAAAAAAAATATTAACTTTCTATCTTATCTAAGGAATTAAAATAATAGGATTCGAAAAATAATAATTTTTTATATATTATTCCACTGATAATCACTAATATCACTATCGTAAAATTCTACAGTACCTCCCTATATAATATAACGTCTATCTTGCTGTATTTGTTTAAGTATCGTAATCTATGTAATTCTATGACTCCAAATCTCTTAATCTTGTCACTCAAACTGATATGGCGTCTTATTTCCAAGGAAGAAAAGACGATACTAACGAAATATCGACGATATGCTCTCCAATGACACAGTTATCAATCATATTTGTAAGAAAAGCGAGAGAAATCTGTCTTCTTACCTGATCGACGGTTTTCTGAAGGATCTGGCATTTGTCAGTCTTGCCAGAGCTCATGTCCGTAGCGGAAATCAGCTCGGCAAGCTCATCGATATACAAGTTCTCTTGGTTCCGTCGTCTTTTTTCGTTAAGGCACTTGTTACTGTAAACAATCGAAAAGCAGAATTAAAGCGCTATTTTAGAAGCAGTGCGCTTATATTCAGCTCTAAAAGACTAATGCAAAATGACAAAACTACTGGCAATTATTGAAATTATGTATGCCATAAGTAATTAAGTTGTGGTTAGTTAAATATGTATTATATTTCATTAAATATTAAATAGTTATTTGAAAAATTGCATTTCATTATGCTTAATGAATTTATGCTTAAAAATGTTAGAACATTTATTTAGAATATTTATTTTCTAAGATATGTAATCGATATAAGAAAATATTCAGAATTCAAGACAACAATACAGTTTTCTTTTTAACATTTATGTATAAATATAGGTGTCAAAAAGAGAGTTGTTGTCTAAACATTCGTTTTCAAAAACTAGATGAAGAATAAAAGTGCCATTGACAGATTATCTCTTTGTTATTATTTTTGAATGTAATTTCTCCAAGTTATATCTTTCTGTTAATACTTTTTTTAAGTAGAAGTCATTAGATTTATTAATTATGGTAAATAGTAAAACTCAGAATAAATCGCTATTTCTATGACTAATTCCGCGGTTTTATCGTGTCAAAGAATATTCTCGTTCGTCTTGTGCTAAGAAAAGTATAAAGTTCTTCTCTAAATAATCGACTCATAAATTTGTTCTGACATAGTTTGTCATACTCGCATTTTATACTTTTGCAATTAATAACAGATTCCGAATTTCAAATTGCTGCTCACAAAAAATTTCGATTGTGATCATTGTAATTTTTATATCGAATTAAAATTCAGTAAATACTTGAATTTAAATCAGTCTCAAAAAATTTAATTAGCTGTAACTCACATTTGACTCGAGAAGGCATTAATCTCGTATTAGTCAAAGAATCTATTATTAAAATTGCAGAACTGAAATTTTTGTACACGCTGAACATGTAACAAAACGCCGCGAAACATTAATAAAAATCTTAGGAAAATCGAAAGGATTTCGAAACTTTATAAAAAAGAAAAATATCTTTTTTAAGCTGTTTGCTGAACCAATTCTTTTTGTCCCATTGGAACGTTTGATTGACCCTGCGTGACGTCACATCGGTCCAGCAGACTCTCGCTTTACTATAATGCCACTCTGCAATTTTAATAATGTCTTGTCAGTTGCTATCCATCCAGCCACGTACTCGCGCGGCAAAATCACAGGATTAAAATTAAAAGTAAAAGCGATATAACTTTAGCGTTTATTTTCTCACGTTACAAATACAAAAAACTTATTACGTTAATGTTATGGATATTCTATAGTATAAAAAAAATATCATTTTAAGAAAATTTAAACTTCTTTGAGAAAGACTCAGAACTTCATCAATAATAAAATTCTAAGAAAGAAGTATTACTTTCACACAGATAATTTTCTACTACTTTCTTTAGATTGTTTCTAATAATTTATTACTTGGAAAAACGATTTTTCCTAAAATTGTTATTCTTACTTCGAATTCTAAAAACGAATATCAACTTTTATGATGAAACGAGATCTAAATATCAAGTTTAATAACTTTTTGACATTTTTATATGTGATAAAATCGTCTCAAAAAATAAGTTTTAGATTTAAATATACTATTTTATGTAAATTTCGTTCTTTTTCTATCGGCTGATTAATTTTTATGAGTGCAAAAAGATGCGAATAATCACAAATGTTTGGTTATCGATGCTACATGAAATTAAACAATAGCCTATTAATAATACTAATATATTACACAATTGTTATCGAAACAATGACTACATTTTCCATATTATATGTAAACACGCAAAGATGAAATTTATACAACAATTTAATAAAATTTTATTCGTGCGCAACATTAACCAAACATTACTTTGACATTAAAGCCTGTTCAATCAGCGAATGCTCAAAAACTTGCGTGTTTGTGTTTGTTATTAATAATTCGATCGAAACGATAAGCTCTTTAGCAAAATGGATGGCAACGGATTACGACGTGTATGCATCGCCAAGCCTTTAAATCATGATTTCCAAATTTTAAAATCATACGTTCTATTTGATATTTTAGATATCTAGTCCTTAATAAAAATTCACTAAGAAACGAACCCAAAGTTAATTAATTTGAATCTAGAGTTGTCACATTTTTTTGTGTTTCATAAAAAAATTCACTTTTTAAACCAGTCATTTTAAAGCAATTTTTCTTTTTCCCTTACTCTTCTTACCTTATTTCCCTCATCCTTCTCCTCTTTAATTTTATATTATTTTATAATATTGCCACATAAATTATTAGCAATATAATAAAAAATACTTTGGTAAATATATATTTTATTGGAATTAGATTAAATTAGATTTTCGTAATTTTTTTAACAATAAAAACTTTTGACGATATTTATCAATTTTTCGAATATAAACAATGTTACGCGTAAAAGAAAACAAAATTTGAGACACTAATGTTCATCTTTTAATCCTTTTTTCCATTAATCGAAATTAAATTACTTATTTTTAAATTAATTACAATAACCGATTATAAAGTACAAATTTTGATTATTTCGTTGATTTCGTTATTTCATTATAACACAACAACTGCATCGCAATTATTATAAAAATTATTAATCACGCAACAAAATCATTACGTAATAATAAAAAAACGAATCATGTAACAAACGAATAATGGAAAAATACAATAAGGAAAAAAATTTAATTGTACAAATTTTTTTCATACGTTTAATATAATCATTTTTTTCTATAATAATATTTTTGAAGAATTATTGTATTAAACGATGCTATGTAATATATAATTATTTTTATTCACTGATAGACGCATTTGATATCAAATATGCGATGTGAAACGCGAGTATTCATTCATTGTACCGTCCAGATTGCAGATCCGAGCTTGTACCGCAAAAAGAAACAAAAAACAGGAGATTGATACTCACAGCTGCGACTGAGGCTTCGCATCTGATTTCTTTCTTTTCTTGGTAATGCCGCTGGTAATCGCACTCATTTTGACCCACAACGGGTCTTGCAATTCACACGGGCCAGGCCTGCAACAAAAGCGCAATCACAATTAGACAAAAAAGTACATCATAAAACATATGAATCTTACATAAAAGTAACAAGTCCTTAAATGCATCAGGATATCGATATTATCAAAATAAAATTCTAAAAATGTTTCTGTCTTTATTTGTAAAATCAAGCGATTTGTCAATTAAAAAATTGTGCAAATAGCTTGAATTTCGCTAAAAATGCTTGCGAGAAAATAATTCGAAAGTAAATGAAAGCCTTGTCTCAACAAAAATTCAATAAATATCGCCTTTCATATATCGGTAACATCAATAATTGTAACAGTAATGGCACCTCGCAGCTGCAATTATCATTATCAAGTAATCATTATCAAAGTAAGAAAGAAAAAAATATATCAATTTCAAACATCATACTCGTACCCCCTATCATTTGTCCGATATTTCTCGACAAATTTTCTGTCGCCGTCGCAAAGATGGCTCGTCTTCAAATAATCGAGCTCGCGCTTAACTAATTTGCTGCACGTGGACGAAAGCCGCGCGTGCGATTCTTCAACTCCCCCGCGCCCTTGCCCCCATCAATTCTATTGCCTCATCCGCTCTGTGCGTGTACGTGCACTGTCTCTTCATTGCGTATAATACGTCGCCACTGATATTCCTTCTACTTACGTCGTATTTTCGTTTATTACCTCGAAATCGATGGAATATATATATATATATATATATTCCTGTATTGAGTTTCCATATATATAACCATATATATAAGGATATATATATAATATATATAGTCTGTTTTCTGTTCCTGCACTGGACTGTGCATTAGAATTCTCTTTCTCGCATTCGATAAATATACCTATCTCACATTAAATTCCAAAAGTGTACACTATAACCTTCAGTAAACTTAGACTTAATAATAAGGTCTTTACGGAATGTGCAAAATAACTGTATTAATGAAAGGAAATCGACATTCACACGATCGACAAAGCATTACTAAAAAATTTAATCGAACTTTTCGCAGACAATTCAATCCGCTTGATTGAACGTTGCGTTTCTATAAAGGTCTAGAAAAAACAGAAAGAATGATTTTGCTGAAATACCTAAAAGTTTAGATACAGATCTAAAAATAATTTTGAAATAATTATGTGTGTTTGAAACTCTAAAACTAATTACTAGAATATTAAAACTTTTAACAGCATTACACTCATTATGTTTGAGCGTCTACATAATTATTTTGACAGTCCAACAAATTTAATTATTTTCAAATCTATATTTAACTTTTTTTTTAGATTCTCCAGCAAAATAATTCTTTCTGTGTAAAAAATACATTTCAACTGACTTAATATTTATACATCTACCATTTTCAACTGACATCTAACACTACAAATAGCCTGATGGAGATCGAAATGTTTGTTTTATGTATTTAGAATATTTGTTATATAAATTTTAACATGAAATATCCGAGCAAGACTCGTAAGCCATTATTGTTTCAATTTGATATTTCAATCTTTTGATTATCGCAGACATTTTAAACCCATTAAGTTAACGCTATATTTCATACGATACATATGATGTATAAAATGATAATTAATGTAACAGACCCTCAGAGAAAGATAGAGAAATAAAATAAGTGGTTCAAGTTTCGCGGGACGTCTAAAGCACATTTTAATTCACTCGATATTAAACTTCAACTTAATATCGAGCTTAACGGTTCTTCAGGCAGCGCCTTCTGGACCTTCGCGTTATCCGAACCCTCTTTCGCGCGAGGTTTCACACAATTATTCTCTCTTCCTTTATCGAAATTGAATTTACCGAGGCCGCTATAAATACGTAGGGCGCACAAGAGCGACTCGAAATAATGCCTTGAAGTACTCCCGGCAGCGTAATGCAGCGTGCGATTCCTTGAGATCGTCTTTTTTTTCTCACACTCGCTGCGGCCGCGCCGCAGTTTATTATCGCGCAAGCGCGCGCGCGCGACAGCGCGAGCCTCCCTTCGCCCTTTGTGCATGCCTTTTCGGTTCGTTTCCCCCGAATCAATAAAATTCCTTTATGGCGACACACGCCAGGGCAGCGTTATAATAAACCAGGGAATCGGCTGCTAACAAAGTGCCTAAAGATAATAGATAATCGCGCGCACAATAATGAGTAGGTACTATACGGCGATGTAGAGGGTGTCCCGAAATTACCAGTCCTATCTTATCAAACGCAAATCTCTAGTCGTAATACGTGTTTAGTTCCCACAGAATCGTGTTTCCCAATTTCATTTTCATCAAACAGAAGTTACGTATATCAGATAAAAAATTAATTTATATTAATTGAACCATGTTACACGATGTATTTTAAAAAATTAATAGTTTTTTTATACATAAATGCTAACTCAATTGCAACTGACTACTAGATAAATAGAATAAAAATGACCCTTTATTTAGCTTATATCAACTTGCATTGAATGATGGCTTTAGCAAAAACTTGGAAAAGGTTGTTCAACACAAGTTAATTTTCTGTATTAAATATATGTTGATAATGCAAAATCTTATTTTCAATTTTTGTGTCACAGTCATGTAAGGATATTTTGTGTTATCTAAATTGCGTACGCGTCTTTTTAAAAGCTTTAAAATTTTCGATATCGCATTGGACTTACGGCTAAAGTAAATTTTTCTTTATCGTCTACACTGAGAGAAATGTTCTAATACAAAAAAGGCCTGATAAGAATGACAGAATTTCTAGTTATTGATAAATAGAAATTTTTTTTATTTTGTTTCACCAAAATAACATTCTTGTCGGATCTTTTTGTTGTTTTCCAATCAGAACATTTTTCTCAGTATATTATCTGTATATCGAAACATACATATAGAATATCTTAGAACATCCTATATACCCAGCAAGCGAATCAATCAAACATTATATCTCGTATCAAAACTTTTGTCTGAGATAATAGCTCATGTAGCTATACGCACAAAATTACTTGTTTACTCGCTTATGTAATGGAACGGTACGTAGAATTCATGCAGATTTTATGACACAAAAAAATCGCAATTGTACAGTTTATAAAAATTACAAATTAAGTAAATAATGATTTTTATTCGTGATTAATGAGCAATAACGGAATGACGATTGGCTACGTTCGGCAGGATGGATAATAATCACTTTGATAAATGTGTTACGTTCGCGACTGACTCTCTCGTGATCGTTAATTTATCGGTATGTCGATAACGCAATTAACGAGTTGTAAAATGTATGGGTAACTGCATTGTAAATTAGACGCGTTGCATCACTTTTCTGGTTTAGCTCGCGCTTGCGAGCGCTCTTTTTTTGTTTTTTTTTTAAACCGCATATGAATACCGCTAACAATGAGACCATTCTTTCTAAATACATTTCGTACGCTTTTTTTCTTTTACCCTCTCTTCCGTTTCTTTCTCTTTCCGTCTTTCTTTAAAGAGTGAATATATGTCTGTGTGTATGCTTGTTTCATTTTAAGCAGAGAAGATAAAGACAAACGCGTATAGCATTATATGGACTAAATATACTTCATGTCTTTCTTTGCGCTCTACTTCTTTCATATAAATGCATTATACATTGTGTTGTAAAAAACAATCGAAGAATTATTTATAGAATTTTTGTATTTGATCGAAAAATTAGTAAGAATTAAACTTAGGTTTATTTTTTTTATGTAAATGTAAATAAATCAGCTGCTCCAAAAAAGTGATATAAATTGAAAATTTTTTGTCAGAGATAAAGAATAACTTTGCTTATATTAAAAAAAACGCAAAATTTCTAAATCTTGTTTCCTCGAATGTTTCAATTACGTCTAATGTATACAACATGATAACGTGAAATCATGCAACATTGAAAGGATTTGTTTTTCTTTAATACATCTCGTATTACTCTTTCAGAATGATCGTCGTTCTTTACAAAACTTCAAATACAAATGTCATAAAATATTTAAATATTAAAAAATAACAAAGGAAATAATATTAAACCATAAAAAAGAAATATTTAAAAAACTACACAATGAAGTGATGGAAGAAAAATATGTAATTCCTGAGGAGAGAAGCTTGTAGCATCAACAGAATATAGAAGACGCGCAATTTTGTATCAAGAATAATACATATAAATATTGATGTTGAATTTCATTATCGGCCAAATACCTGCGAGAAGATTACTCCTCTGCAGCAAGACCGGTGACAGTTAAATACGAAAACTTAAGTAACTTAAATCAGGCAGTCTTACGTTACTTTATAATCGGTTTCAAATTTCAGCATGACGCGACAACAAAAATCGAACGAGGAATCGTAAATCCGCGCATAAAATACTGCGATTTAAATCTCGTTAACCGATAAGCAACGACCGACATGAGGATTCATCTTTATACGATTAAAACAGCACGTATTGCAATACACGTATCGCATATGCGAATTTACGAATATCATTTTAGTGAATTTGTGTGTGTGTGTGTGTGTGTGTGTGTGTGTGTGTGTGTGTGTGTGTGTGTGTGTGTGTGTGTGTGTGTGTGTGTGTGTATGTGTGGTATCACAATACGCCTTTCCTTCAATTATGTAGAATATTGCATAACTTTTAATGATGGTTTCCTCGGTTGATTTATAATTCTGATAACAAAATTATTCAAAAATCACATTTTTGTCGATGAAATATTTTTTGCAAACTAACGAAAAAGTCGGTTTTTTAATTTTATAAATATAAAATCGAAATTAGTAAGAAATTAAGAATTAATAGTACTATTCAAATAAATGATTATGCTTAATGGAATCGTTAGTAATTTAAGTAACAAACTATTCTTAATGCCTATTATTAACCCGCAAAAACTTTTTAACACTCTTTGAATTTATTAAGAAGTTACTTTTAACAATTTTTATGCGCAAGTTAACAAAAGATAAATTGCTAAAATTTACGCGATAATTATTAGTAATTTGAGCGAAATTTTATCAACATTGAAAAAATTAGACATAGCAATTACCATCAGTAATTACTTAAAATTAACTTAATCGTAACAAATAATTAATATAGTG